ATATATATATATATATATATATTTACACTGACATAAAGTTATATATTAGCTATTTATTCGCATTATACTATGGTAGTGCCATAGATTTCAAAATCACATCTATGTGAATTGTTTATGTATTGTCTGCATAGTATGTATATGGTTTTTTCCATATAAACAATGTAAGCTATATAGCATATTGTAAATTATATTAAAGTAGACAAGAAAGCAATATATTAAATTATAAAACAATTATTATATGTATTAATTATAAATATAGTGTTTAAAAACAACAGACATATAATGTCTAAGAAACAATATTCATAAATTCATATTAGAATTCTAAAAATTAAGTAAAAATATAAATTTATTTTTATTAATTTTTCAGTAAGCTATAAATTCTTACTTAACTATATATTCTTTAAACAATATCCATAAATTATTCATTGTCTACAATGTGTTGTTTTATATATAATTTACATTGTCTACATATAGATATAGAATATCATAATTTATATGTAAATGTTCAATTACATATTATACTATCACAACAGTGTTATTCTGAACATTCTTTGATTTGAATTCAAACAACTGATATTTATGTACAGAATTCAGCTTGTTCTTTGTGATCTGATATTGCCTCACCGTTAGCTTTAAGGAGGACACAAAGGAAATAGAACAGGCAAAAGAGGATGAACAAGAGGAGAATGAAGAAGTAGAAGAAGAATTGAAAGAGAACAACAACAGTGAGGATGGAGAGAACGACAATGGATACTTGGTTGGAGCGACCGAAACAGCTTCCAGAGAAAAACTTCCATTGCCAACACCAGACTTCGACAGCGCGACCACGTTGCTACGCACATCAGTGTTCTCGAATCCGTTTGTGGAGGCGGAACGCGCAAAGAGTGCGATATTGGAGAAGCATGTCAAGATGACGCCCACACTGGACGACACCAAGACCATCAACGGTCGCAAGATCTGCTGGAACTACCGGAAAGGCCGCTGCCGCTTCGGTCATAACTGTGCCTTCGCGCACGATTCGGATTTACATCGTAGTGCGGCCGAACTAGAAGCATTGCGTGCACCCCAGGAGACGCTTGTCTGTCAGACGCGATACAACGGCCAGCAGCAATGGCAGCAGCAACAGCAGCAGCAACAGCAGCAGCAACAACAACAGCAACAACAACAACAACAACAACAACCGCCATCAAATGATACTGGCGATGACGAGAACGATGAAGTAGATCAGGAGAACAATCGAACAGGCAACAATAAGAAGCGTAAGAAGAGGCCAGGTCTCAGTCAATGGTTGCTTCCCAGCAAAAGGGTCTTCAAACTGTACAAAGCACAACAAACCAAAACTGTAGATGAATATTGTTAGTAATCAGATGAGAAGGGAAGTGGGAAGACAAATCGGAAAGGAAATTCAGACGGGCAATATTGAAGAGCCCGTAAAAAGTCTAATCTATAATATGCTGTTTACTTCCTGTTTTTTTCTCCTTTTATTTCTTTCTAACTTAAATCTTGAATCTAACGTCTGATTTACAATGTGCTCTTTATTTCCTGTTTCTTTTTCTTTATCTCTTTCTGATTTAAATCTTTAATTAAAAAAAACCTTTAATCAGAAAAAGATAAAGAACAAGAAACAGGAAGCAAATAACATATTGTAGAGATCAGGCTTTAAGCCAGAAAAAGATAAAGAACAAAAAGCAAATAGCACATTGTAGATCAGATTTAAGGAGATTCAAAGCCTCCGTACAAGAACATCCATATACGTCACGTTAATTTAAGAATAAACTTACATCAACGCACAAAGAAATTCATTATGAAAGTCTTTTCTTACGTTACAGATTTTTTTGTGCGTTGACATAAATTTACTCTTAAGTTAACGTAACGCATTACGGATATTCTAGTGCAGAAGCCCTTAATCACATTCAGTTGTTACTTCCCAATAAGAGGGTCTTCAAGCTGTACAAAGCGCAACAAACCAAAAGCGTCGCTAGATAGATAGCATTAAGTTAAAAACAGAAAGATTGGTTTTAACAGAAACAAATAGAGAAAATGGTGGAGATGAGTATTACTTGTTTAATGTAGCCGCATGAGAGAAATGCATTAAGCAGAACTTATAGAAGATTCAAATACGGGCTTTGAAGCTCCCAAAAATAGGTATAACGATTTAATGATTGTAAAGAAGAAAGATACGACTCCGATTTATGCTTCCATTGCGAACAAACTTGCGATGTGTAGAATAGAGATGCAGGGACTTCTATAGGTTAGATCACAGGAATGCCAAGGATGAAGAAGTCCGAGTGAGTTTGATTATCGCCAGGGTAGCACGCGTCCGCGTGGTTGTGTAGAATACCTTGTAAAAATTCATGAATAGGAATTATTCTTGAGAATAACTCGTCTTGAAAAATCCAGGCGAGAATTGTTATTTGATGTACAAAGCGTTGGAATTTTCGTCTTTGCGATGCAAAAGCGAACGTGTTGTCTTCTCGTTATTACGCGCGTTTCCCAGATAATTAATTCTCCGTTAATATAAAATGTCAGGAAATTTGATTTGTACTTCCGACTATATGTAGAGAATATCACGATAGGGCTGACGATCGTGATTGCGTAATTTATATCTTCTATGATTATACTCTTTTATCGATTATATACTTGTCATATATATTTATATTACCAACTGTATACTTAGTGACACACGACACTTCCATGCGTCCCTGAAACTTAAGATTAAGCCAACCTGATTGTATTTCTCTCTCTCTCTCTCTGTTTTTATGAGATAGATTTTTATCTTATCCTATATATGTTGCGGTCGACAAACTCGACGTTCTATTAGATTGAATTAAACGAAATAATTTTTAAATAAAACTATTTATCAGTAATTCTAATCACTTGTTAGCGAAGAAAATGTTACATGTAATTTTCGCCATAGAGATGAAAATAAGAGAATTACTGACAAATTAAAAACTTAGTCAAGTAATTAGTTGTCAAAGAATCATCTGTTGGTACATTACTTGATCTATCGATGTTCGAATCGATCTATTAACGGAGAAAACGATAAGTAATTATACTAACAAGTTAAAATAGTCACGATTGACAAAACAGATTCGATATCTTGTGAAGATCTAATTGCAATAATTTTTAAATACTGTCGAAGGCACCAGAAAGCCATTTCTATTAACACACTAATCAACTACTATAATTACTTATTTGAAAATAAGTAATTATGGTAATATGTTAAAATATAGAAGGATCATTGACAGATCGAAAGTTTGCGCAACTTTGTTCAGTGGTCGAAAGATACATTACTAATGTGCTAATCGTCTGTTAATGAAAGAAATAACAAATTACGGTAACCGGTCAAAATAAAAGAGTTATTAATAGGAGTTTATCAGAATATCGCGGCTAAGAAGAGGTTCCTCGGTCTTCCGAGAATCCCTAAAGGTTGCCAATAAACAATTTAACAATATTATAACTATATTTTGTCTTAATTTGCATTTCCTTTGATATCCCTTCCAATCCAAGAAGTTAGTATAGTGTAGTGTAGTGTAGTTAGTTAGTATAGTGGCACTTTTGTGAAATATAACTACGATTTTTATTACTTTTATTATTATCTTTTTATTACTTTTATTTTATTTTATCTATTCACACAATTTATTAAAAAATTTGTTTTATATAAAAACGAAAAATTTTTTAAAAAATTCACAAAAATAAATACACAAATATATTTGTCATATAAATTTTGAATGTTTTACTAATAGACTTAGAAATTTATGCAAATAATAATTTTATATATTTTTGCACAATTTTGCCAAAAATAACTTTTTCAGAAAGACGGCGGGAGTCTTATATTTTTTATCAATTTACTCTTTGATACATATGAAAAATTTTTCGTTCAAAGACTGTAAAAATCATTCACAAAAACTGCTTACACTGCATCAATTAATAATATGATAAATGGGCACTTTGTTTGCAGAGAGAAAGAGAAAGAGAGAAAGTGGATCCTTCGACTTGGTCGTTTCTAGCAGATTTAAGCGCAAAATGTACGATGGCAAGATACAAGAGACACGACATGTACGCGACATTCCTCTTTCTTTTTTTATTTCAGACACTTATGTCTGTGGGTGTACAACGTTTATTTGCTTTTCAAAACCATCATCATACGCGTGAACCGCGATCAGTGCGCGCGTCGACTCACTATTGCATTCTCTCGATTGAAAATATAGACTTTCGCGTTTATACATACATATATATATTTTTTTATATGTATATACATATATATTTCTTTTTTCTCTTTTTCCTCTATTTCCGCGAATGAACGTTTCACAGGCACTTCGTCTCTAAACTGTGGCGAAATTTGCTTGATCAGTTTTGTTCGGCGCGTAGAAAATGCGTGGAGCGACACGTGGTGCGTCAAAGTGTCGTCACAAAAATCCATTTATGTTTACGGACAAAAAATACGCAGGAGGATATCGCGATCATCGTTTTTCCTTTCTGCCCCTGTTTTTTTTTCACCTAGTTACTTTACAGCAACTCTCGTCTTGAATACCTTCAATTACAAAAATAAACTCGAGCGAACAAGAAGCCAGTATAAGCCGCGAAAGTTGGATAGCGGTATAAAAAATTTGAAAAATCTTAGTATTTCAATATAAAATTTTTGAATAAAAATGCTTCGAGCTATATTGAAAGCACATTCTAACTGAAAAGTGGAAAAAGAAGAAGGAATAAATATGTTCCTTCTTATATAAATACACTAGCCTTTTAAGAGCGATAAAAATTAAACGCTCCAAAATAGCCCACGGACTAACAGACTCTTAAAATTAATGCTGGCCGAAAAGAGGCTCTCTTTTCGAAAAAAATTTCACTAATTTCATGTAACAGCGTTGGCATATTATTCGCCCGTGAGTTTGATTTTGTAAGATCTTCTCTCGCAATTACATATATCGATAACGTGTATTACAATCAATCACAGAAGAAGATAGGTTCGACGAAAAACAATCGCGCCGCGTTATGTACAACTAACTTAATTACACCTACTAACACAGGACAAGCACCTATTATTAAGTACTGATAGGTTTGATCATTAAATATTCGCCCTAATTATAATAATCATCGGATCGTCCTATGTCGTCGCGTATGTCTTTTTCTTAAAAATGAGTTATCAGTTTTTAACTATTCGAAATTAGGAACTTGATTACACATGAAATTATAGCACGGGCCCCGGAGAATCGTATTCGATACGATAATAGGGCATCTGAAACTTAAAAATATAAAATTGCTAAAATCGTTTACGTCTTAAACGTACTCGATAAGCAAGTGGAAAGATCACTTAATTCGATATATTTCGTAAAATAAAATACATTTTAATACATATAAGTGCAGAATGAAGACAGAATTACTTTTTAAAAAGGTTCTATAAAATAGATAAGAAAGTGTGTTTCCAACAGTATAATAAAATTGTTACTCTAAAATAGACAATTAAAAAAAGATACTCATAAGTATTTCTAATAAAAAAAAATTTTTTCTTTTTTCAAAAATATTTCATTATTTCTTGTAATTATTGTTTTACAATATTCATAAAAGTTTTCCTTTTTGAATTATATCAGTGTCAATCTTTCATTTTAATTGAGTAACAAGCTTTCTTACAGTTTAACGATTTCAATAATTTAATAGTAAAAATTAATGAGAGGAAGTGACTAATACCACATAAAAATGAAAGAAAATGATTAGTACCTCATAAAAATGAAAGGAGGTGATTAATATCACATAAAAAAATATAACAAAAAGAATATATCACTGATCCGATAAAAATGCGTAAGAAATAAATTAAGAATCGAATTCAAGAGTTTTCAGAATTTTTTAAGGCTTAATATTAATTATAATTAATACTTAGTAAAATATATATATACATATATATGTGTATGTGTGTGTGTGCATTTATATATATATATATATATATATATGTATATATATGTATAATATGTATATATATGTGTATATATATGTATATATATATATATGTATATATATGTATATATATATAATAATAATAATAATTAATAAGAGTTAAAATCTGACAACTCATTTTCGATCTCAGTTTTAAAACCTCAGTTTCGACACCGAATTACTGTACACAATTTAGATATAACGCGAAATACTATAATTGTCGAAATATTTTTTTAAATCTCTCGATGTCCCTTTTTTCGCATAATATTAAGTACATTGAAGGGATCTAAATTCTAATACAAACTGCGAAGGCTCTTAAATATATGACCGAAAAACAGAAATAACTAAGAGCTCAACATGTAGTTTCTAACGTGTGTGAAATTATCAATAAAATAATAATTACGACATCAAGGTTTTTTTTCTCGAGTATCTAAAAATTTGTTTTCGACAGGTTCAGAGACCAGAAAAAACTTTTTAAAAAGATTGAAATAATTAGTTCATTAAATATTTTTCACACTAACTCAAAAATAATAAAGTAGGACTACATAAATCTGTATATTAAAATTAAGTATAAACAGCGAAAAAAAGATTACCAAGAAATATTGCCAGGCGATTTCTTTTCCAAACGACTTATTCGATGATGGCATAACGAATGATTGTGATTGCGGTGCGAGTGAGGTATACGATATTGAAAAATTACGCGTAGAAACTCTTTAAGAATCGACAAAGGTTCAAAATTGACAGAAATTTATCTAGAGTGTTCAATACGAAATTACGAATGTTCTCGATATTCAACTCCATTTTTAACTTATTTCTTCACTTATCTCGATCCCCTTTATAATGAATAATAAAATTATCCTTGTGTTATCAGTGATTTTGCATTGTCAATGACTTAGACTATATTTAAACTATACTCTGCTTTTTCTCGACTATCGCACTTCGCAGATCAGCCTCAAATACTACGTCGGAGTCCAGTGAACCCAACGAATTCAATTACATGTTTTCTTTTTTGCTTAATTTGAAGTCGGAAGTTTTTTTTTTTAAGTCTTAACAAGGTATAAAAAAAATCTTTTACTCTCAGGACTTAATTTGCGTAAGAAATCGGTCGTTGAAACATGTTGCGAGAATTTCACTATACTTAAATAAAATTCGCGGAGTGCACTGGATACTTCAGATTCGACGAAGACTTCGAAGATATCGGCCATGATATTCGCCAAAGAGATCTCTTAAGTACGACACGCAAGCCCGCTTAAAAAATAGACGTTATCTATGTGAGATTTCAGGTCTATCGGTTGCTAAAAGTTGCTACTTTAATCCTGGTTTAATACCCGTGAGATACCAGAGTCAGTTACTCAGCGACACAGTAAATGTAAAAGAAATCATTCACAGTGTTATTACATGCGAATATTATTTTCAAGCTGTATTTGTGACGTTGAGTAACTGTAAACGCGGCAGTCACTTTCTTTTTTTCGAAACTGTCGAGATATCAGTTGCGCCGATTTAATTAATTCTTTTCCGTAATACAGAATTGAATTATAGAATCTAAACACTTATCTAAACACTCATTGATTTCAAAATTCTCTTATCAGAAATAAAATATTCATTCAAAGAGCAAAATATCAAAGTTTACTTCGGAATATTGATGTCTACCCATTTTGAGTAGTGACAGCAATCTTTGCAAATGCGACAAATAACCAGGATTAAAATTCAGATGATCCGTCAGTGCTGATAACGATAGAAGATAGGTCTGTTCATGCGTGCGCGATTACTCGAGCAGCTTACTAGATCTCTTTCTGTTTTTATTGCCACCTAAAATTTTTCGCGCGCCTGTCGTGCGGTTAATGCATTATGTCTTCGAATTCGTTCTTCTGCGACTCGTCGATCTTCAACTCCCGTAGACTGTCGTCCAGTATCATAGTCGAGTTACCGCCGTTCACATTGTACCGCTCGGCGTGCTTCGCTTTACCGTTCGGGAGACCATTCTGCATGCCGTTGATGCCGTTAATACCGTTTATCTTGTTGCTGATTGCACCGGAAATGTTAGCTTCGGCTTTACTATGTCCGTCGAATCCGTTGCTCTGCGCTTCAGCCTTTAGGATCATCCTCGATGGCGAGAGTTTAAAAATCGTCTCCGACGATAGAGAATCATATTGCATCGTTCCTGCAAAAAACATTTTCTATTATTCTCTCATATAAGAACATAAATATTAACTCTTATGTAAGAAAATAAATCAAACTCTCATATACAAAAATAAATATTAATTAATAAGTGTCAATAGCTTATTGTAAAGGTGGAATCTGGATTTTTTCTTCTTTTTTAAATTGTATTTTTATAATTTTAATCAAACCTTATAATATATTTTATTCTGTGGAATATTGAGATTTAATAACAGCTATATATAATAAGACAAAATTTTAAAGATATTACAAAGATTTAAAGAAAGCGGAATGGAATGCGTCTCTCAGACCCCATTTTTCCGGCGATAGATTAAATATAACGTATCAATAATCATGTATTAAAACGTTTCAGTTTATTTTGAACGATATTAAATGTACGATAAGAGATATTCATTAACACCAATGTGTTTATCTCTAATCAATATACGCTACCGTTTAGGTTGTGGCAATATTTGTTAGTATTGTTCCACTCTTCGCGTAAGCTGAGATTGAACATGCTGTAATCTGGATTGCCGGTGACTTCTTTCACGATAGTTAGGAATTGCGGCAGAATGTTCTTCAGTTCATCGCCTGTCAACGCCGTATAAGTCTCCAATAACATCAAGCCTCGACACCTGCCAACAAACGAGTTAACTTTTACTTTCGTTTCGCTCAATTTTATTTGCTCTCTTACTTGCTTCAATCGCGGAAGTCGTCTTACCTAGGATGCGCTGGTTCTCTGTAAATGTCCAACTGGAAATACTGATTGTTGATGAGGAAGCAGCGACGACGTTTGAATATAGTAAAGTGTGAGTCGTCGCGTTGAGACAGCATGTTCAGATAGTCTCGATGTGTCAATTGAGTCTTCACCTCGATTACTTGGCCGCATATCTTCGGTCGACGAATTGTGTGGATATACGACCAGTGACCTGAGAAGAACAAATGCAAGTTACATCGCTATTCAGAGCCTTGCTTTCGATGTGACGCTCAATTCGCCAGCCAATTTAATTTCATTAATTTCACGATATATTTCATAGTGCCCCTTCAATGATCGAAAAGTACTATTCGCAGTGACTACTGTATCAAGCTGACGCGACACAACGCATTTCGAATAATCGAGTTGCACATTGAGTCGCACATTTAATCTATTGTATTAACGAATGTAACTATATCTGCTTTTTGGTGATTTGATTTACAAAGTAATGCCAACGTATTACGGAATACTATTGCTACAAAATGGAGAGAATCGTTATACACATGAGAGCGTCCTCACCTTTCTGGCCGCGCTTACGCAGACGCGCCTGCATCTTGGGATTGTTGCTCTGGAGGTAGTTGTGCACGACGTCGAAGTCCTGAAAGGGCGGGAACTTGTCGTCTGCCGGCAATGGCGCCTTGACAAGGAACTTAACTTTGCGACTGCTGGCGCGCAGCCGGTCACCCGTGTCGATGCCCAGCTTCTGGCACACGCACTCGATCATTCGGCAGATCTTGGACTCGAAATCCTGCGAATTGTCGATTACGTCGAAGTATGGATGACCAACCCAGGAAGCCGCAGCTTTATAGTCGAGTTCGCGGGCGAGTTCCACGCCTTCCGAACGACACGCGTGCTCTTCCGTGGAGTAGAATTCCTCGGCGCCGTTCGCCGCCGACACCATGTGGATAATCTGGTTGTACCTGTCGAATGGATGTTATTAGAGTTGGAAAGCAAACAAGTATCTCTAGTGATTAATCTAAGACGCGTTTCGAAAAAACTAGGATATCCTTTAGACTGTGACTTTCTTGAAAGATTATCACGAAGTATTATCATAAGGTTAAAGTACCAATGCCCGAATACACACCTAAGAATCTTGCAGATTCTTTTTGTGTGTTTCGGTCTCTAAATACAAATATTTAAACTTTTATCATAAAGATAACTGTTGTGATATTAGGATAAGAATATGTATAGTTAAAGGTTTAATATAAAACATAGACGAATGAATAATTAAGAAAACCAAGTCCTCTTCTTTTGGCAATTGTAGTTGAAATAACGAAATACTACTAGTATTTTCTTCCAATATTAAGTTTATAATCGTACCTGTTGTCCCTAAGCTCGACATTGTTCCATCCGTTGGAGGCCATCATGAGTTCCCATTTGTCTTTTGAGATAACTGAAAATTTTTCTTTTGAATCTTTCCATATAAAAGCATAAAGTTAAAAAGAAAAGACAATTTTTATATAAAAACTAGAAGTTGGATAAAACACGATTTCAATTTAATCTTGTGTAGCGAGAGTGTATTTAAGCAAACTTAAAACACATCAAGTATGTATGAATTATTTTCTGTACAACTATATCGTCATTTTCTCTAAAAGTTTGTACTTACAAGCGGAGGCATCCATTGCGCCGCGATCGCAGATGATCAAGCAATTCCTCGAGCAGCTCTCACCGAGTTGGAAGAAGGTGTTTTCTATTTGCAACATCGTGCGCAGGAGATTTTCCTGAAATTTGAACGCTGCAACACACGCAAGGAAAGACATGATTACTATGAAAATTAACGGATTCTGCTTGATTTGCAATGTTATTTCAAAAGGAGGATTTGGATTTTAACTTCAAGCGCTAGCGTGAATAGTTGCAATGCTGATTTTCGTAAAGAAGGAGAATAGAAAGTCTCGATGTCTCACGAAATAAAACTCATGATAAAAAGACCGAGTTTGGCAAATCTCTTTAAAATGACAGCCGTAGAATTATACTCAAAATTACTTTTTAAGTTACAACAAATCCGTTAAATAATTCGTCTGAAAAATGCTCGAAAAAATATGTATTTCCATAACTAAAATGAAATTAAAATATTTCTAAAACAAAATAATACATCAATTCATACAAACAAAATTAAAAAATGGTATTGCTACTAACAAAACGTATATTCATTTTGATGTTTTTGACGTTGAAATTATCAAGGTAAAAATAGTAGAGAGTTTGGGGAAGCCTGATTTGATGTAACTTTCGGAATTATGGATAAAAATACGGCGTGCACGTCGCAAAACTAATTCATAGAGTGTATCGGAAGATTAATCGCGAACTTCCCGGTGAGATTCTCGACCGTTCACGCCTTTCGTGAATTTCAGCAGATTCGCGCGTTTATCTCATTTTTTTCGCACGAGAGATTTTACTGATCGACCCTCGCAGATCTGATCAACAAGTGAGTCGGTTTCTAGCAGCGGTGGGTCCTAGCACGAATGCAAATGTCTAAACACAGCATTTGTTGGTCCAAAGCAGCGACCAGGTTGGATATGAAAATTGCGGAATAAGTGGTGTATGAAAGTCGCCGCGTACAAAGGCGATTGGGCAAAGCGAAACGCTGTTACTGTATTACTGTCGTATCACTCGTTGCGCCACGAATTCCAGTCTAGCGCGATAACGTAGGACTCACCCACACCGGAATCGACCTTCAGGATATCCGGCCACCTCGCCTCACCCTTGCAGGAGCCGCTCTTACGAATTAGTAGACGCGGGGAGGGCTTTGAGCGTGAAGGACAAGCGCTCTCTGCTAGAACCAACCGATCTTGTTGACGCGATCTCGTGGTCGGATCTCTTCGTCGTCACGAGTCGAAAAATTGGGATATTCGCGTTTCTCTCCAATAAGGGAGGTTAAACAGATGGGGACAAGTGGAAGGTGTGTGTTTTGACGAAATTTCGGTTGAGGAGTCAATTTCTTTTTTCCCGGAAGGAAAGCATTTTCTCGGTCTCGAGAATCAAGAACTCGGCTACACGCGAGAATTCCCCCGTCGTTGCGTTCATTCGCCAATATTTTGCGGCCTCCAGAAGCCGTCAGACGCTATTCGCAATGGACCGATCTCGAAGCTCTAATAAAACGCCGACATCGATGAGGTGGAAACACGAGTGAATTACAACGTACATCTTTTGCGAACGTCATCGTATCTCGTTCGCGCACGCATCGTATTTCACGCTGTCAAACACGTCATTCCACGTAGAAACAAAAGGATGACAAGTCGCGCGCGGGAGGCGACAACGAACGGACGAATTTAGACCGGCTTCTTTCGGCTCGCCGCGTGATTTCTTCTCGATTTAACCGCGATTCTCGCGAGGAGTCGTGAGAAAAATTTAGAGAAGGGGAACACTCTCCGCGCGTCGAAGACACATATAATCCCGAGAGCCGGGACTTAAATTACATAATGCACATTTTAAAAGACGCGAAACATCACATTCGGGTCTTAACATGCCCCGTGACTAGATATTCTCTCTACATTCGCCGACTGTCGTAACTTTCAGCTAAAAATATGAAAACCAGCCTCTATATTTCATGTATGCTCTCGCACAAAAGCGGGAGTTTCTGCTCCTCGTTTTGTTCAACAGGTTTGTGCGAAACGAGCAAATTTTCGGATAATTTGCGCGATAAGGAGAGCCGACGCTTCTCTCAAACGGCGCTAATTACAGCCGCGTCAACAATTATGCGGCGCGATAAACATACGTGTAAACGTAAATATAAGCGAAGAAGCCTGATATTCGCGCGCATTCGTTCCCGTTCAAGGGCGAGCTGATTAAAGCCGCGTGCGCGCGATCGTCTTACGTAAGGAACGAACAAACGTGTCGAACGTCGATGTGTGATGACCATCGCCCACGCAGCCGAATACTATCTCAAACCCGTTAACATTTCGCGAATTTTATGTCACGGGAGAACCACGCTGGCGCGTGGCTTTTATTTATGTGCATCTCGACACACATAACTTGCAATTTTTCTTAGACATTTTCGATATCTAATCTCTGATATCTAATATCAAGATTTCCTGAGCGAATCATATCGTTAGAAAATTAATCCGAGGCTTCTGAAAAGCGGCGAGATATAGTTTGAAGTTTCATCGAAATTCGAAGAAGTGCCAATCTCAAATCGTTCGAAAAGAAACGTCGAGAGCGCGTGTGTAGACGGCGAGAAGTTCAGCCGCGCACGTGGAGAGAGGAATAAATTTCGAAAGTATATCGCAAACGCGGAGGCTGTACGAAAGTGATGTTCTCCGTGTTACACGGGGAAAATATTGTAGTGAAAATCATATTAACATTATATTTTTTGATAACGTTTTTATGAATTAATTAATTAAGGCAATTAATTAATTAAAATAATTAAAATTAATCTAATTAATTTCATTAAAATATCATAATTCTGAAGTAAATAGTCAAATGCGTGAAATCTTTAAAGAAATATATAGTAATAATATTAATATATAGTCATAATTTTGTACTGTCAAGAATTGCAAAAATTTGGCTACATTTCGTACTACAATATTTTCGTGTGGAGTGAAATTTTGAACCACGTCCGAAGACTAATTACTCTCTGAGCACAAGGGGCAAATTGCAGCCAAATTTTGTAATTCTTAACTGTGCAGAATTATGACCGGAATTACTACATATTTCTTTAAGGATTTCATGCCAATGAACCCTTTACTACAAAATTATAATATATTAATTAATTTATAATTATACTGATTTCAATTACCTTAGTTAATTTAATATTTCTTGTATCGTATGCCACGTAGGTATATAGATCGTCAAATTTACTGTATCCGTAATACAATGTGAAAATTATTAGAATGATTTTGACTTCTTTATCCATTTTCTCTAATTGTTCTTTTCAATAAATGCCTGAATTGCTAAAGTCTGTTTTTGACTGTTGCCGACCGGAATACGAAGTTCTCTCCAGGCACTTATCGCGGGCATGTCGCGCGTGTGCAGCTTTCTTCTTTTTCCCGATGCAAACGTTATTCAGTCAGGCGCGACGTTTATCGATTCGACGTCTATCGACCTGAATGCTCGGTCGAAATATTATTTACCGGTCAGCAGATGTTACGGCGCGCCGAGAGATTCGCGCGAGAAGTCCTTCGCAACACCTCGCGCAGCGCGGAAGGCCAAGTCGCTAACGCGCGTGCATAAGCCAAGAATTTTTTGGCGTTACGCAATCGCACTATTGCACCGGGCGGCGGCAAGCTTGCGTGATCCTTCGGCTCTTCCAAACGAAACATGACATTGCGATTGTTCGAGAGATGCAATAAATAAAACCACCCATCACGCGTAAATCTGCACGGGAGCGAGCGGATGCATTGCGCGTAACAATTCGCACAGGGACAACGCACGGAGCGAGACCGGACCGCGTTTTCTCTCTCTCTCTCTCTCTCTCTCTCTCTCTCTCTCTCTCTCACACCGATTACATACATACGTTATACACTACCGGGACCTCGCGCGTGCACGCCAATCTATATCTACTATCGAGCCCCGCTTTGCGTCGTATTTCCCGCTTATTGTCGTATCATCCCGCTCGTATTTTGCGTTCGATTCTGGCGCGACGGTCTCTTCACGACCTGCTCGAATTTTCTTTCTCTCTCTTAAATCGACTTTATTTTCGAAAGAGAAAAAGATAGAGAGAGGAGGGCAACAATTAATCTTTTAATTACGCAAGTGTCCTCTTACTTAATTACGCCGATTACAGTGGCTTTAACTTGCTCTCCGATCGAAGGAATCGAAACCGGTACGATCCGGTTGCGCGGCTCGTCACGCGCGCCAATTTTCGACAGCGCGAACGTCTCGAGATCTCATTTATGGGTGGCCGCGACATCAAATACGATCTCGTCGCGACGATTACGTCGGTTTCCATAATGCAAATGTCACATAATTAGAGCAGGTAATCACGCGGCGCAGTCATGTACGAGATTAAGTTCATGCAGACGCGGAAAAGGGTACCGTTAGAAAGTTAGAATTTCACGGAGAGGCGTTGGCGGGAGGGTGAGATTGGGGAAGAACGTGAAAGTGCGACGTGAGGACTTACCTTCCTCCGCGTTCAGGTCCGTAAACTTGATGCCGCCGCTGAAATAGAAAAAAAGCAGACGGCAGATGAGACAACTGGTATAACAAACGGATACGCTATAAAATGTGCGTGCGTGCGCGCGCGACGCGCAACGAGACGTTTATTAATCGGCTTTAATCGGTAGAGACAAGACGAATCCGATGGTATACTTAATAATGTTGATATCGCGCTGAAGAGCCGAGCGAGTTGAAATCTTTCGACTGTATCGAACAATCTTAACATGGCAATTGTTAAGGTATCGAGCTCGCAGCTGGAAGAACTTACACGGAGAGAATTTCATAGTGAAAATTTCATAATGAAAATTAGTGGAATTCTGTAGCTCTGAGGAACAGATCGACACTTTGCAGCAATTGACTATCATTTCACTTTAAATGTATTATCTATATTTTAGGAACTGAAAAGTGTTATCGAAAAACTTGCATGTTTCCAGCAAAATTTCTTAGCAAACTTTTTACACTGAGAGAAAAATTATATTAAAATCAACGAATATTTCTTTAATGTGCCATTAATATATTTACTTAAATCTACCTTTATTTAAATCAAATATTGTTTTTCTGATTTAAATAAACAATATTTGGTTTAAATAAAGAGAGTGTAGATTTAAATAAATATGTTAATAGCACCCACATCAAGGAAATATTTGTTGATTTTAATATAATTTTTCTCTCAGTGTAACTATATCTCTTAACCAGATAGACTTTATTGACAGCCTATTCTTGCGCACTACTAGAAACATAATAAAATTGAAAAAAAATTTCCATAAATATATTACTTCTGTATACACGAAAAGATTTTTGTAATGAAAATCGCTATTGAATTTTGTAGCTGAGAAATAGAGACTCTGCAAGGATCGACTATTCTTTCACTTCAAATGTGCTATCTATATTTTAGGAACTGAAAAGTGTTATCGAGAAAATCTTACTGTGTTTCAAGCCAAATTTTCTGTTTTTTAGCAAGATAGATGTTACTGTCAGTTTATTTCCCTGCAGTACTAGAAACATGGTAAAACAGACAAAAATTTACATAAAAAAAAATACTATGATATTCTTTCCGTATAAAAGCCGCGTTCGTTTTTCGAATAATCTTTACATTGAATACAAAATAACTATTGCTACAATATGAACTTATTCGAAAGAAAGTGATGCGTTTGAAATAGTTTTTCAAACCGTCTGTTCTCTTATTCGTGTGAATTTTTTCGAAAGGGCACTTAGTCCCTTTAAATTCCTTCTTTGCACGGATATGTACATAATGCGACTGTATATTATTTGCATGAAAATATATTTCTTTTTACATTCACGCTGTTATCTATGAGAAACGACAAACCCGATTAAATGGCAAAACGGCGGGGGAATTTTTTTTTTTGTAATACCCACCTCAGGAGCACAGTGGCGGTCTCGGGGACGCGGAACACCTGAAAAAGAAGGGGAAAGACCACCGTTCTATCAAATTCACAACGATAAGAGCCCCCCGAAGCAAGTTCGCGTGTCATTCACTTTTTTCTCCTTTTTTAGAAACGGGTGTCAGGCTTATTTCCACGCAAGATACTGGCGTAACCGCCTTAATTAAGCGCTCGATTAGCGTGAATTATCCAGAAAATAAATCTGTGCAAAATGTCGAAAGGTAACCACTTTCGTTACGATCGCTGGTCGCGCCACAAAATTCGCGACACAAGTCCGTCTCAACCGGCGACTACGCGAATAGACCGTGAAAATTAAAAATATCACCTCCAGGATTCGAGCCTGAAGCTTGTCGTTTCGGGGGGCTATTATATGACATAATAGTTACATTACATGCACAATACGTCGATCACATGACCATCGAAGAAACGTGCGAGTGTCGTGTGCACGATGAGAAAATTCGCGACCACTCAACACGCTCTTCCGCTTTTTTTTTTCGCGAAAACTGACGGCAAAATTCGAAAGATTGTTTACCTTCCAGCCCATGTTCTCGAAGAAGGTGCACAATCTGGCTTGTCCAGTAGTCTTGCCGCCGCATGGTCCTGTAAACGTAAATATGTGTTAGATTTATATTGAAATAAATCGTGAGTGGAATATAAATAAAAATGTAAGAACGCGCCAATAGAAAATCTTTCAGACACATAACTGAATGAAATGAGACGAATCAGCGAGACCCTGAGGCGCTTATGCACTGAGAAAAATACTTGAACATTTATTTGTAGGACAAAAGTTTATATTTCACAGAAATAAATTTTATTTCGCGAAAATATATATTATTTCATAGAATAAACTTTGTATCGCATAAATAAATTTTCAAGTATCTTTCTCTCAGTTTATATCGAAACCGAAATTTTTCTTCTTTGAAAAACAAACATTAAAGCGAATACATCGCGTCAACTTATATTTAAAATGTCCCATTGCTCCAAGCATTATCACATTGAAAAAGGAAGTATTTGAAAATTTATTTTGAGATATATTTATTTATCGTGAGATTATTTATTGTGAGATATAAGTTCACATTTCACAGAAATAAACTTTATATCCAACAAATTAAAAGTTTCAGATGTTTTTTTTTAATGCATCATTCGTCGAATACATCGGATTCTTCAAATTATCCAGCAATATTATATCAGACTTACTTCCGCTTAAATAAAGATTCGATCGGCCGTCGATTTCGTCGATAAGACTCTTTGATCTGATTACACTGAGAAAAAAATTTTTGAAAATTTATTTGTAGGACAAAAATTGATTTCACAGAAACACATTTTATTTCTCAGAAATATACTTTATTTCACGGAAATAAATTTTGTATCACACAAATAAATTTCCAAGTATCTTTTCCTCAGTGTACAAGGATAGCTAACAATAATTATATATACGTTGCGTAGCAATTTACAGAAGGAGAAAGTTCTACTTGTAAAAATAAATTGAATAGAAAGGAAGAAAGCGATTGTAAAAAAGAAACTCACAAACACAAAACGAACGAATTCGACGACTGCAGATACACAAAAAATATATTTTCCGTCTGCATTGGTGTCCCACAGGTACATAAATACAGATACGTACAGTATTGTTTACGATGATGCAAGTACGGAATTTTTAAACAAGAAAAAATTGATGGGACAAAGGTACGCGAAATGGCAGACGCCAATAAAACTCAAATTGAATGTAATTGATGCGCGCCGACACGGCTATTAACTTAGTATGATGCATCGTGCTTGGGAATGCAGTGACGCATTAGTCCTGCTATTAGGCCCACTTGAGACCTTCTAACAAGGCCCAAAATTAACTTTCCTGTGATAAAAGCGAAAATAGCAGAGCAATAGAAAAATAATCTCAAAGGGCCAAACTGGTTGACGGAAGGATCACTTTGCCGAGTGCGCAAAAATAGACAACTTTTGAATAGAAAATCATGAGAAGAAGCTTAGAGGAGGGGACGTCGAAACGTTTTGCTCCGTTATTGGCGAGGACAGTATTATTAGCGCTATTAAATGTTATTACTAAAACGAGCATTGTCTTTTTCTGTCCCGACTGAGTCGATCGAAAACGTCAGCGCGATCAATTGCGAATGGATTGATACTCTTAATAGTTCACATCCTACCGGATTTGTCGCAGTGATAACGAAGTCATGGCACGTGAGCCGTATAAAAGCGACTTTAAGCTCGAACTTTTTGTGAGATTTACGTGAATCTTGTGAAACAAACCAGGAGATTCAATCTTGTACAAGGAGTTTGAGAAAGTTTACGTTAAAAAAATATGAAAGGTGCTTGCTTTATATAAGTTTGAAGCATTGGAAGATTTTTTCGAGAATCCATTGGAAAACACTTTGATTATAATACAATTATAATTCGATTAAGTTTGTCTATCTTTATTATATATTTCTATTTTATCCATGTATTATATACAAATGATAAATATGAAACGATATATTTAAATGAGACTCTGCTATCTGTATTAATAGTCGTTACTTGAAACTTGCCCCAAATGAGATGCTCAGATTTGAATTTAGAGTTAGGTATGAATCTTTCAGCTAACTCGCGATTGCAAATATAATGTCGCATGTATTGGATAATTCAAGAAGAAAATTCAAATCTAATTCTAAATTCATATCTGAGTATCTCATGTGAGACAAGTTTCAAATAATGATTATTAATATGGTTACTAAAATTGGACTATTAATTATCTAAGTATCTCATCTGAAACAAGTTTAAATAACGATTATTAGTACGAATCTACCATGTGCATTACATGATGTCGTTGGTCATTGATAAGTCACGTCGTACATAAAGGACGATAAATAAGTAGAATGTAAGATAGTTCTATCAATGCCCATTGATAATGTTTACATTATCTATGTGTAACGCGACATGCTCGTCCACTCACGATCTCTTAGGGTCGGTTTTTCAATAGCACTTTAAACTTAGATTCAAGTTTAAACTCTATTCTAGCAATGCGTTTGTTTTGTTTAAACAGAGTTTAAGTTGAAATCTAAGTTTAAACTATCATTGAAAAACCGGCTCTTAGCGGCTTTTTATCGCTAACAAATATTTAGGGACGGTTTATCGAAGTATATTGAGGAAAAAAAATATCATGTCACGATACTCGCAAGCCAGACGCACATAATCTCGTCTGGGAACTTCTTAAAATAAAAAAAGTGACCGTTGTACTATCCCAGATAGACTTTCGTGATTATGTCACGACGTAAGATAATCGATGATGTAAACTTTACAATTCCTTTGATTACATTTATGAACTAAATATATATTGTATTGTTAATTATAAAATTTATTTCATACACAATAATGAAAATTTTTTGTTGTACAACTGCGACAAAAAACGTTGCGTTCACAAATTTTCATATTATCTTCAATATAACGCGTTGTTTGAGACAAATTTTAATCATTTCTTTCCGTATTTCTATTTCATTATTCTATGTGATCAATGTGAGCACAATCTGATCAGTCATAAGGGACTCAGGGCCGGTTTTTCAATAGCAGTTTAAACTTGGATTCAAGTTTAAACTCTATCCTAACAATGCATTTGTTTTGTTTAAACAGAGTTTAAGTTGAAATCTAAGTTTAAACTATCATTGAAAAACCGGCTCTTAGCGGCTTTTTATCGCTAACAAATATTTAGGGACGGCTTATCGAAGTATATTGAGGAAAAAAAATATCATGTCACGATACTCGCAAGCCAGACGCACATAATCTCATCTGGGAACTTCTTAAAATAAAAAAAAGTGACCGTTGTACTATCCCAGATAGACTTTCGTGATTATGTCACGACGTAAGATAATCGATGATGTAAACTTTACAATTCCTTTGATTACATTTATGAACTAAATATATATTGTATTGTTAATTATAAAATTTATCTCATACACAATAATGAAAATTTTTTGTTGTACAACTGCGACAAAAAACGTTGCGTTCACAAATTTTCATATTATCTTCAATATAACGCGTTGTTTGAGACAAATTTTAATCATTTCTTTCCGTATTTCTATTTCATTATTCTATGTGATCAATGTGAGCACAATCTGATCAGTCATAAGGGACTCAGGGCCGGTTTTTCAATAGCAGTTTAAACTTGGATTCAAGTTTAAACTCTATCCTAACAATGCATTTGTTTTGTTTAAACAGAGTTTAAGTTGAAATCTAAGTTTAAACTATCATTGAAAAAGCGGCCCTTAATGTTGCTGAATTTCGTGATTTAATATACTTAAAGACACATCAGTCCATAGAGAATGTAGCTTTAAACACACCGCGTGTTTAATAGCGATAGCATATCTTATCCAGCACGTTCCATAAATCAATTTTATACGACATCACCCACGCCACATAGATGATCAGTGCCCGACATTGTGATGTGAATATATTTGTTGAATAAATAAATAATAAAAAAAATAAACGTTAACAAATAAATAAAAATATTTGTCAAATATGTTTCACAAAATACTTAATAAAAGTTCGTATAGTTCTATTTTAGAGCCAAAATAGGCTTGTTTTTTTTAGCTCAACTACACTGAGAAAAAGAAACTTGAAAATTTATTTGTGGGGAATACAAAGTTTACGTTTGTGAAATGAAATGTATGTTGGTAAAGTTGCTTCTTGTGGAATAAAGTCGATTTCTGTAAAATAAAATCTATCTCATAGAAGTAGACTTTCACTATCCTACATATAAATTTTCAAGTATTTTTTCCTGGTGTAATGCCGCATGGAAACTTCATTCTTTTTTTTCCTTCGACGCCAGGTTATATATCTGTTTCACTGTAAAAGCAAAAAGTGAGCCTTGGTTCCAGTAAAAAGGACATACTTGAAAAATATTTCACTACAAAGGCAAGAATGTATCTTAGCTAAAGAGAATCCAAAAGAATCCAACGTAAAATGACCCAAAGGGAAAGTTCAACGTAGTGACTCACGTGGTGTGGAACGTGCTGAAAAGATCGCGCGCGCAATCTTGTTAGATAAATCTCGAATTAAATATTAGATAACCGTGTTTAGCGCTAAATTTGGGATCCCGATCCTCTCAAGGTGCTTCTCGGATATTACGTCGAGACTTGGCGCGTCGAATTTCCCTCTGTCCGTAATACTTAACAATTCTTCCTCCTCGTTCGCGCGACTTAATTTAATCGCACGACTCAACCGACCCTCGTACGATCGTCCGAGACAAACGGAATTAGCAAACGACTTGGCGTTTCTTTCTTCTTCTTTTCCGCTCTCTGTCCTTCCTTTTTCTGACGCAACACATCGGCCGTTTTCCCCCAATCACACCCGGTATAGCCGCGCTCGCGGAAAGGCTCGCGCGTGTCTCCGCGCGTGGAATCGATCGATGTCCGCGTGGCTACGATAACGTGCGACCGACAGACATCGCAAAATCGGGGAGGACGAAGAGCGTGAAGGGACGAGAGTCGCGTGGCAGAGGGTCGCGCGCAAATGAGCCACCGAGGATCTCAGTCTATCCGCCCTTTTTTCATTCGGCTCGCCAGATACATTTGTAAAATAGATCTGCGGCGCACCCGGCTGGCACCCTGGTGCACCTGTGAAAAAATACGGCACTGCGGGCGCGACACAGACGTCCCCCGTGCATGCTCGCAAACCCTTTTTCGATCGAAGCTAATCTGTGACTCTGGAAAATTGTACGTCCGACTTCTACCTCGCGCGACCTCGCGACGGTAGAGTCTCGTTTTGTTTACGCTACTCCCCACGAATTCAGTCCGCGTTCAGGTGGACTATTCGCCGCCGCCACCCCCCAGCCGGGAGCGATAACCGTATGCGACAGAGCGCGATGACAACAAACATTCCACGTACCTCCAGTCAGCACGAGTTTGTACACGCGTTTATGATCCATCGTCGCGTGTTTTGTCGTTCACTTCCGCTACGGCCGAATCGTTCTCTCCTGCTCGTCGTCCTGCTGCTCTCCTCCTTTTTTTCTCGGTTGTCCGCGACGTCGTCCGTGCACTCGAGCTTATCCTCGACGATGCTCTTCCGATGAAGATGGTGTGGTGCGAACGTGCGTAAGGCGGCAGTCGATACTACATGAATACCTGATGATACATTTCGAGTCGCTGCGCGCACGACCGCGTACTTGAACGATACATGAGATATAACGACGACGTCGACAACGAGATCTCTCTCTTTCTCTCTCTTACACCGAACGAGCTACGGCGGCAAAGGACACCACTCGAATGACCGCACGATACCACAAACAAGCGACCGTCACGCCGCACCGTCCGGAAGCTTCTAGAGTCGCGCAGCTGCTCGCAGCACGGCGGCCATGGTGTGGTGGGGGGAGCGCCAATAGCACGCATGCGCAGTGGCGCGCGCTCGAAGCAATGGCGGAGGGGGACACCCATCTCGTGCGTTCGGGGAGCACGCTACCAACGCTACCGCGTTCTTCTATCTTTATCGCTCCTTGGATATGCAACAAAGATCGAATGACACAGTAGCGCTGAATAGCACTAATAGCGAGCTCCCCGAACGCACCTGATGTATCGAGAACATTCGCGCCGAATTCGAACTCTCCTTACATCAGCAGTACTGTCAAGCTGGCGTCCCACAGTGCGGAAATTTCACAACGGAAGACGTGGAGTCAACGTGACCGATCAGAAAAAAAAAAAGAAAGCGAAACGACCGCATAGTTCCGTTCCGCGGAGGATTTTCGCGTTATGGAACGCCAGCCTCACACATAGACAAGGCTCGGTTGCGTCAACGTTATTTTAATTTTAAGTAAGACTCAAATATATATCTTTATTTATTTAGTTTATCTGTCTTTATTTAGAAAGAAAGATGAAGATAGACAAGCTCTTTAAGCAAATTAAGACTCACTTAAAATCAAAACAATGTTGGTGCAACTGGGCATACTTTTACCAAGCTCCCATTAAACTAACCATTTTGGTGACTTTACAGAATTCTAACTGAAGCTACTTTTAGAGAAGAAATGGAAACTGAAAAGTTGTAAATGTGAATTGATAATGCAACTCTTGCTTTCTAATTTACATTTTCGTCATTAATTTTACAGTTATTTATTGACCAGAAAAAAAGGAAAGTGTTCGGAGTATTTTAGAGGCGTACTTAATTGATTGCAAGTGTGATTTTCTATCTTTATATTTCAATGTATTTTGGAGGAATTCTAGGCATGCATTTCCTCGTTTCTGATATCATCAGTCGAGAATTTCGTGACGAAAGATCAAGAGGCTTAAGTGACTATTAATGATATTTCATTAATAAAAATAACATTTTACCAAATTTTCATTTTCATTAATGTGTTCAAATATCTTCTTTAAATAATTATCTGATAATTAAACTTTCGTCACTATTTCGTCAACCGTGAAGATTAGATTTTTTTACGAGGGTATGCAGTTTTTGTAAATGTTCTTCTCGTTTTGGAAATTTCCAAAATTTAAAGGTTTTCTAAGTTAAATTCCAAGTTTTAACAGGTTCGGATACTTCAGGTAATTTTCCAATCCCCTCTCTCTCTTTTTCTTTCGTCGCCGTTTCGTCAAACAATGAAACCATGAAGATTATATCGATACAGCTGATTTGAGAGGTAAAAGAAACATTTTGTCATATCAAGTTTTCGACTAGGGTTAACATGAAAGAGAGAGACAGAGAGAGAGAGAGAGATAGAGAGAGAGAGAGAGAGAACCGTGTCTACGTCGTCTTTATTTATATATTTATCGCACGTTTTACATCTTTATGCCGCACGTGCAGTCCGCTTTTGGTGTCTTTGGAAAATATCTCAATAAAAAAAATGAGTATTTTTATTGCTCCCTCGTGTTCACGCGACCGCGATAAAAATAATGTCCTTGGTACAGATATTACGCTCTGTCGAGTTTCCTCTATCTTATCCGTCTAAATACGACACAAAAATACGAAATGCACTTAAAAGATACCTAGTATGCTTTTGTCAATCTTTTTTGGCTAATAGCTTTTTGAAATCCCTTTATCAGGTAGTTCGGGAATTCTTTCGTCAGGAAGTTTGGGTTATGAAAAGAAAAAGAGAAGTATGGGTCTTGAAAGAGAAAACGACACACGTAGTATAATTATATGTAAAGTTCCATCGAAACATGAGACACTGAGAATACAATTGGATGAAATTTGGCCTCAGGTCGCTGACATTTATATGTTTTAAATTGAGCACGCAGAGAACGACAATGTCACGAAGTAAATGAAAATTTAATGGAACACCTGCGCTTCTATTTTCAGCTATTCGAAGGCGCAACGCGCTAGTTTGCGAAGGAAAATTGCCCGAATCGGGAGATTTGATCTTTCTGTATTTCTCGTTTCCATATTTCGGTATTTACCTTTTCTCTCTCTTTCTTTCGTTCTCTATCTTTATATCAGTCGACCGGCTAAATATATGCAATTAACATAGTTAAGTAAACAGCATCGTGGGATCCTACTGCGCAATTATGACGTGCGATATCACGCAGTGTGATTTATAACTAACGTACATTTCAGGGTCTCACACTCAAGGATACTCGGATCAATTGTTCTTATTGCTTCTAAACTGGAAGATAGTTCAGGGTACCTATTATGGATTTCTTCGGAATCAATTCCGATCGGAAACATTCAGTTATTTCCTAGATTTCTATTGTCTTTTCTAGGGGAAACGGAATTATTCCGATCGGAATTGATTCCGAAGAAGTCCATAATAGATACCCAGAAGAAGATTCAGCAATAGCTATCTCTTTTTACAAAGTTATGTCAATCCGTCAGGAGTAGACCTTGTTGAAGGAAATAAGAATGACTGGGAAGAATAAAAGTGGTATTGCGTTCAAATTCAAAGTAGATATTCATCTAACTAAAGAATGTGACGTGACTACAACATCTCGTACACCAATTATGAAACACATTGTAGACGTAATTTGTCTAGATTGAGATTTTTAATTCGCCGCCTCACGAGATACGTACTTTGATCTTCCGAGGTAACACGTTCAGTTGAATTTTATAGTTAATTCAAACTCGCATTCGCTGCTTTGCGCGGCGCAAACTTTATTTGCACGGTTGTTACACGATTCACCGATTAGCCTTGGTATACCCTTGATATAACGCTAGAATAGAAATCGATTTTCAACATCTTTTTCCTAGAACGCTAGAGTTCTCTACTTACGTCGTCGTTAGCGTATGCACGTAAAAACAATACGTGTCGAGATTCATCTTCAAACAAACTCAAGGCTCTTCGGAGTTTAGAAAATTTCATCGTGAATTAAAACGATTTATAATATCTGAATAATTGTCTTAAAGAAAGAGTAAATCATGCGACGAGAATGCTAATATGAAAAGTATCGATCGATTTTACGTACGATAACGTTCTAAAATCGAAATGTTTAAAAGTTAGCAAAAGATCACTTTCCGGTGTTGATTCCATATTGTGCAACCATTTCCGCGATTTATTTTCCAAAAGACATTTCCAAGACAAGAGAAGTAGTCGAGACCAAGGATCAAAAATGGAATATCTAAATTCACTTTTGCATATCACAGGCAGGCGATAATAATTCTAATGTTTATTCGCGAGTAAACACAAAACATCGCAAAACACGATAGTTAGGATAATCATAATTTTCCATGCGTGCTTGTCATATCAACGATCGAATTCACTGCAAAATTGTGTATCGATTTCGATCCTCGGTCGTGACTCTTGAGGCTCAATTTGCCGAACGAGTGATTTTGGCGATTTATCGGTCGCCCTATATAGGCACTGCGGATAAACATCCGTAAAAGTAGAACTCTGCAGTCTCCGCTCCAACATTCAATTTCGTGCGTTCTCTGTGCAGAATTCCACCTTATCAGTAATCTCGATTCTAAGATTCTTAGAGAGAGAAGTGAGTAGAAGTGAAGATATATAATGATGTCAATGTACACAGCTTCAGCAAGAAGGCGTAATTAGTACACTGTACAATATTTTATATATATATATATATATATATATATATATATATATATATATATATATAATGCTAATATAACGAACTATATATATACTTTATAAATATAACTCTGTACTCATTATTATCACAATAATCATAATTATTATCTGTACACTTTTTGCACAAAGATAATGCCGTGTGGACCAACGCGACATCTATAATACCGAGAAAATAGAATTCTCACAGTAATTTAACGTGAGTTAAATTAACCCTTTCGCTACGGCACACTTCAACCAAAAAGTGTTCCCTGTATGTGGCACGATATTCGATTGTGAAATGCACGCGTATGGATTGAGAAATTCTGACCAATTCAAATGAGACAGAAAATTCACATCATAAATATGTGGAGACCGCAATTGTGTTGTGTTTTGACATTAGATTCCTATAAATATGTATGCTGATTTTGCGGCCACTGCGCCGCCGTATATACGATGTCCGCCAGTTATAAGCGGTTTTATGACGTGTATATACGGTGTACGTAACTAAGAAACTTCTTTTTGACGACGTACCTATTGTCCTACGTAGCAAAAGAGATAATGCCGGAATATAGATTCGAGAAAGAGAAGCCTATTATTTCGTAAGTGGTCCATTATAATTTGTATGCGTAATAAATTAGATTGATGAAATAAATTTTCTCTCCACTGACATTATATAATCAATATAGTACAAAAAAAAAAGTGCTAGAGATGCAAACCAATAAATATCATGATCTAAGCGTGATCGAATGCTTTAGTGCAGGGATTCTTAATATTTTTTTGTGCCATGGACTTCTTTGGCAATTTAGTGAAATTTCAGAATGCTTTTGTATACATAAAATTACATATATAAAGACTATAAAGCACAGATAATTTTTATTAAAATAAGTACAACAATAATTCTATTAAAGTTATATGTGTGGTAAAAGTTGTCAAAATAAAATTAAAATAAAGAAAAAAATATCTGCTAAATTTAGTTAGACTAGAAAATGTAAAACCGGTCAAAAGTAATATATTTTTCACTTAATTCCGCAGATCTCTTTTGACATATATTCATGAATGCCATAAAAATCTCTGAAATCTGAAATTTCAGATTAAGAATCCCTGCTTCAGAGTATATAGCGAGCTTTAGAAAAGCTGCAGCTGAAGATTCAGGGAAGAACTGAGGAAAATGTTACTCGTGTTCACGTTGTTCACGAGTCGTAGGAATCAAGTCTTTGCACGAATTTCAAGGGTATTCCGATGTGCAGTAATTCGTCCGGCGATCTGTTTCGCAGATCCAACCAATAGTGATTTAATGCTTGCCAACAAATCTCTGATAGCTTTGGGATCGTTAGCCAGACGGACAGAACAGCATTCGTCCTCTGTATCTGCAACAACATGAGTTCCAGTCAAAGATTAATTGCGGATAAATTGTCTGAATTAAAAAAAAAAAAAATAATTTTCACTGAACCTAAACTTTTATAATTAAAAGATGGAATATGTATGACATTATGTATGACATTATGAAAGCATCAAACTATAAAAAAACCTATGATTATTTTAAAAAATACAACTATATGTAACACTAACCGTGTTGTTCTCTTTGATAATACCACCAAATATGTACATACGACCTTCTGGGGTGAGTGCTGCTGAATGAAAGTACACTGGACAGGGCAGAATACACTTTCTTAAACACGTCCATTGTAACGTACTGAGGTCTAGCCGCCAAACATCGGAGAAGACACGATCGCCGTCATAGCCACCTGATATAACAACTACAGTAGCACCGGTTTTTTCATCTCTATACTGAACAGAGCCGTGACAGCGTCTTGGTGCTGGTACTGTGTTGTCATCGTTGTCACCATGTGTGCTCAATATCTTCCACTTATTGGACCGTAGATTGAATGCTGGGATTTCCTGAAAAATATTTCATTAATCATCAGGTGTCAAATGATATAAATGTTAAAGTTCTATTGATACTACAGTATAATACTATAGTATAATTTACAAAAATTACAATAAAATAAAATATATGTGTATATATTCAATGTGCTATAGAATTGCATCCAACGTGCATTTATATTACAGTAATAATTATTTTCATTACATATTCATAAAGCTAACTTTTTCCACAAAATCACGTTTATTTACTTACTGAAAAACCAAAGGCATCAATAGAAGTGCCACCACCCAAGATATAGATCATCTCACCATCAAATGCGAGTTCATGACGGTACCTGCCTGGTGGCTCTAATGAGTCTCTGCCCAAACAAACGTACACTGTTTCCCAGATGCCAGTTCTTAGATCAAATCGATGAATATCGCAAGTATATTCATAGCCTGTGGTGCCACCAACAGTGTACAGGTAAGGACCATAACATATCAGTGCCTGTTTGTACAATAAATAATTAACAAATAAGTAACAAACAAAAAGATTAAATAAGCTTGCTATTTTGTGTCTATACTTGAGGTAAAACTCAATATGCAATTAGATTGGTTTTGAGGTTGTTGAATTCTCATGTAAATAATGAATGTTGTTCATGGATATTTACATGCCAAAGACTCTGTTGTTTTTAATTGAATTAATGCTGCATTGGAACATTATTTTTTTTCCTTCAAAGCTAGGTTATATGGCTGAGTAGTTTTAAAAGTAAAAAGTACAATATAATTTGGCTAAAATAAACAGATTCAATATTGCAAGTACATAGTTTAAAGCTTAATCTACAATGTGTTCTTTGCTTTCTGTTTCTTGTTCTATGTCTTTTTTTGGCTAAAGACTGAAGTTAAAAGAGAAATAAAGAGAAGAAAATAGGCAGCAAAGATCACATTATATATTTAGGTTAAAAAAAATGAAAAACAAGTTCTTTTGTCACAGTACCTGTCCATATTGAGGCTCAGGTAGTTCACCAGAGGCTGGCACTAGTTTCATCGCACCATCGTCCACATTACAGATATAAAATTGATTGCTACAACTTTCACCAAATGGCACACCTGTACCACCATATACCATGAGTATGTTGCCGCGTAAGATCATAGCGTTTGAGGCTAGTTCGTTAGGCATGGTTTCTTGGGCAGGCAATCGTCGCCAACGTTCACTTGCTAAGTTAAATCGCCACAATTCTTTGAACAACGGCTTGCTGATGATCCACGTTGGATCATCGCGCATATCAGGGTCGGTGTCAGATACACACGGATTGAAACCACCGTACGAATAGAGATTCCGATGGTCGCAGGCGATACGGTGACCACTACGTGCCTTCGGACGCTCTTGCCCGTCCGTCTCGTGTTCGACAATTACGTACGGCTCGAACACGTACATATTTTTGACTTCCTCATCCATTTCACGAACCTATGTTTAGGATAGTCACGATCTGTTCCACTATTGCGAAAATGCAGTCACAGAAGCGATCGAAAACTAAGGCAAAGTCAAAACTAGGTTAGGATTAAGTTTCACGAATCTGTCACGTTTAGTCATTTCTAACCTCAAAAGCGCTCACCTTCGCGCTTTCAATGAGATTCGTCGTAGTCTCGTGCCTTGATAATTAGTCTCGCGTTTTCAATACTGCGTCACGACTTGCAACGACGATTGCTCTGGATCATTTTGCGTCTGCGAAAAATTCATATCCACTTTGCTACTTTTTCATATTTCCTTTGCTAACTATTATGATGAAACTAGTGTAGTTTGTAGATTTATCGTGTTGTTCTCTCTCTCTCTCTCTCTCTTGGTTTCCAAGTCTCTATCTCTACTGTTCGCGTCAGGGTGCAAACCCATGGTTACACGACATTTTTCCGAAAACTAGATGGAAAAATGTTGGTACCGACAAAAACCTCTAGACAACACAATTTTAATTTCCGCGGATTAGTGACAGTTTGTTATTCGACACATATACATGCATATGTCAAACGACTCCGCAAAATTCATGGACTTGCTACTTTAATAATGTCACTAATTCGCAGAAATTATTGCCTAGGGGTTTTTGTTGGTACCACCATTTTCCTATCTAATAGCGTGTTCGATTGGCCTTGGGTTAATTGCTCCGAGAGCGATTAATGACGTCATAAGTCTCTACTAGCCAATCATAAAACTTATAAGTACTTGTTCGACCAATAAACGTAGGCTGAATAACCTAGAGTGGGTTAACCCAAAGCCAGTCGAACATGCTATAATTTTCGGAAAAATGTCGTGTAACCCTATGTGTACTACGTCCATGGATCCATTAGTCCCGATCTACAATAGGTATAGTAAGCTTTAAGTCTTAAGAAATTGACCAATCACAGTCGATTATTCTTCTTAAATTTGATTGTGATTGGTCAATTTCTTAAGGGGTTACACCACAGTAGAAATTTCAAAAAATCGATTCTTTTTTTATTGGCTTAAAAAATCCTTTGAACCCTCTAGAATAAGAGACAAACGGTTTTATATCTGCCAGAAATCGTTTTCATTGAAATTTCGAGCTCTTTCTCGACCCCTCCCGACTGCTCCGAAACGACTACCTGCGGTAAATACGACACCTGCTTGTCGGGTACAGCATTATGTCTTACCATTCGATTTCTAACTTCTCTAATACACTAATAGATGTCGTTAGAAACATTTTCAAGCATTTTGAACACAAAGTACGTTAGTACAGCGTCCTTTGATGTTGAGAGGAGACGTAAATTTTGCGTGGAAGTTATTCGAAATCACGATTTTCTTTTGCAGTGCTAATTTTTCACACGTTATTTG